GCATTACATGACATGGGTGTATTTACATACATTCAGGCAATATACTCATACACATAAAGTAAAAATAGTAAATAAAATATCTTTTAAAAAGAAAAACAGACTCAAAAGGCCATGTGGCATACATTCCATTAATGTAAGATTCTGTTAAAAAGCTGGGTGTGCTAGCAGAAGCCTGTAACTCTGTAGGAGGTAGAAACAGATGGATCAAAGACATCCTCCCCCTTACATAGTAAGTTTGAGGCCAGCCTAGACTACATCAGATCCTGTCTGAAAAACAAAAACAAAAACAACCCCCCCTAAAGAAAAACCAAAGCAAAAGAATATTTAGAAAGGCTGGGTGTGGTGGTGCACGCCTTTGATCCCAGTACTTGGGAGGCAGATGCAGGTGGATCTCTATGAGTTCAAGGCCAGCCTGATCTACATAGTGAGTTCCAGGCCAGCTGCTGGGTTTAAAGGGAGACCCTGTCTCAAAAATAAAAATAAAAATAAAAATAAAAATAAAAGAATATCTAGAAAGTATAGGGATGAAAAAAATAGTAGTTTGCATCAGGTAGCCATGGTCCCCAAGAGGCAATTCAGAGATATTGAGGAGAGATGGAGCTGCTTTGTAACTTTTTATTTCTCAAAATGTATAGAACTACACACCAAAAAATGGAAATTTTCCTACATGTACATGAATTTTTTAACATAGTTTTTAGTTTTATTTCTAAGTTTGTGTTTCTTTTTCTTCCTCTTTTCCTTTCTTTGTTGAGCCATGGTCTTACTACATTGCCCAGCCTGACTTCAGACTTGCTATGAAACCCACACTGGCTTCAGCCTCCTGAGCTCTGAGTCTTGTAGGCTTCTTCCGCATACCTGGCTCTGAGTCTGGTCCTCTAATGCTTCTGGAACTCTCTTTGGTTTTCTGTTGCCTACTTTTAAGTGTTTCCATATTTCTTAAATTTTAATTTCTTTTAAAAAATTTTTATGCACACGCCTTTAATCCCAGCACTTGGGAGGCAGAGGCAGGCAGATCTCTGTGAGTTCGAGGCCAGCCTGGTCTACATAGTGAGTTCCAGGACAGCTGGGGCTACAAGGAGACCCTATCTCAAAAAGACAAAAAAAAATTTTTTTTACTGGGTGGGTGTATTTACATACATTCAGGCAATATACTCATATACATAAAGTAAAAATAGTAAATAAAATATCTTTTAAAAAGAAAAACAGACTATTTTTTTTTAATATTTATTTATCAAATGTGTATGAGTGTATTGCCTGCTAATTTCTGTTAAGTGCACCCATATCATGCCGTGCCCAGGCAGGACAGAACAGGGCATTGGATCCCCTGGAACTGGAGTTACAGATGGTTGTTAGGCACCACGTGTGTCCTGGGATTTGAACCTGGGTCCTCGGCAAGAGCAGCCAGTGCTCCTAATCACTGATCCATCTCATCTCTTCAGCCCCCATTTTAATTTCTTTATATAATTAAATTTCACTTCATTGTGCTCACAGAAGAGTTGACAGTCTTTAAAATCTAATTTCCAGGATTCCATGCTGTGATTTTTGAGGTGGTTTTCTGGTTTTGTAATGCTGATTCATTCACAGAACCAGTGAATGATTTGGAACAGATCTTACCTCAGTGTTTCTTCTGGCTCAGTCCAGATTTTACATCTGAGTCAGGCACCCCCCTGGTTTTAGCCCCTGCTTGATTCTGTTACTTTTCTTTTTTTGTCTCTTGTTATATGCCAGTGAAACTACGTCTTCTTTTCAATGTAGATTTTGTTCAGTCTTCATTATTTGACATTATCTGGAATTCCTTACACCACTATATTAGTGGTCCACAACTGGAAATACTTTTGTTTCCCAGAGTTCATTTGGTAATGCACAGAGACATCTTTGTACAGTGCACAACAATGATCTGATCTAGGGATGGGGTGATGGCTCAGCGAGTAAGGCAGCTTGTCTCTAAGCTTGATGACCTCAGCTCAGCCCTCAGAACCTACACGGTGAAAGGAGAAAAAGGACTCCCCCAAATTGTCCTCTGTCCACCATTAATGTGCCATAGCTTGTTACCCCTATCCTATACCCCCAATTTTTAAAAACTTGAAAAAGAAATGCCTTAAAAAAGTATCTAGTCCAAAAGATTTGTAGTGCCAATATTGAGGAGGCATGCACTGAGAATTAAAAAATACGAATTTTCACATGTAACTTTATTATAACATTTGATGACTTTATAATTGTGGCCATTTAAGATTTTTTTGTGTTTAATGTATCACTTAAATAACTTTATGTAACTTTCTCCATATCAATAATTCTAGAATTTAGATATTTTTTAACTCAGCAAACATTCATATAAGCGCCCCAGCCCCTGCCCTCCCCTCTCTCACACCCCACCCCCTGCCCTCCCCTTCC